ACTAAAATTATTAGAGTTACAGTAGTTTTTCCTGGGGGGAAAAAGATAGGGAAAGTATCAGAAGATTTAGCACATTTAAACTTTAAGTAATGAGGGGAAAGTCATCAACAAACTTCTTTCAAAAGAAATGTTTTCTGCTAAAATCTTCTATTTCACTCAGATCTATTTGTTCCCCACAATTTTTCTGGTTATACAGAATTTAGCAAAAAGATCTGTTATTCCTACAGCATTTTTCTGTAATTTCACATTCAATACCTGTAAGGCAAAGGAGATACTTTTGATAATGCTAGTTGTCTACATTCACATGATAATCATCTATATATTTTGTAACATTGCTTTTCTTAACATAAGTTACACAATCACTAACATTCTTCAGGGCCTTTTCTGATATGGAACTTTAATGAGAATTGAGAAATTAAAGTTCAACCTAAAGAAAGAAAACTATAAGCTGCATGAAAGAAAGAACTCATTCTTTCTCTATGTAATTCATGTTCTTACATAGATGAGGAATTTAAAAAATGGTCAAATTAGAAGACACTGTTAATTAGATCAAGCTCTATACTTTCCATAAAAAACTAAGAATCGATCCAACTTATTACCTGTTTCTAATATGAGTATTAATTAGAAATATTATTATAGCCTTTATATAACTGTGATCACTGTGGCTCATTCTACTGTTAACAGCACTTTTAATATTTTCTATTTGAATTGCTTAAACACCCCAATACCACAGCAAAACACCTAAAATGTTGCTTGCCTTCAAGTCCACAGTATTATCAAACATCTCTTTCTGCCACTTCCTAATAGCAATCTTTAGTGTTTCACCCTCCTTTTCCCCCATCTCACCCTTGATCACAACAGCCTCTTTCAAGACAGAGCCTGTCCCTGTGTATGGCAAAGATCTGAAATGTTTTAAAACAATTGAGAATGGGGGTATAGGTAATGAAGAAATAGTTGTTAAAAAAGAAAACAGCTTTTAAAATTCTCAGGAATTTTTGTCCTACTATAATTTGTCAATGCATATTTCACAAATGTCATCTTTTCATTCCCTTATCAGCTACTCCAGGAAGAATTTATTCAGTTTATTAAAATGTAGTTTTTTATAGTATAACACTATGAAGCTTCTTGTTAGATGTATAGTATTTATTCACTGCAGCATAGTTTAAAAACAAACCAACCAAGGCTTTTTCAAACTCTAATTCTCTACTTTTCTAAGAATAATAACTAATGTACCAGAATATCCACTTGCCCTGACATTAAAATGTAAACTTTATGACTACTGAATAAAAAAGTAAAATGTAAAATGTAAAATGACTTATTCAGTATTTGTCTAGTACCAAACAATGAATTATATAAATTCTCTTTATCTTTCCCCACAATGTCTGTCTAAGTACAAGTATTCCCTGAGGGCAAGATATAAGTAATTTTTATTCTAGGGTCCTTGGCACATAGAAGAGGCATTTTTTTATAAATGTGTGTGGAATGAATGTGATTGTCCCTTTTATGCTGAAGGGTAAACAAGTTCACTTGCCATTGCTTTAAGAAATCCTTATGATTGCTACCTCTGAATCTTTGTTAATGCTATTGTCTCCATTCAAAATTGTCCTCCCTATAACCTATCTATAAAAATTCAAGGTGCCTCTCAAAAATGTCTATACTGATTTAGAGTCTTTTATTATCATCCTAACAATACTCCACTTCCTCCTCTACTTAGTTAACCTATTTCAGCTTTGGGACTTTTGGGAAGACATTCTCTTTCATTATATATACAGTAAGTATATACAAATGTTTTATTTACAGGTGATTCAGGGCAGAATCTGAGTTATCTGTCTTTGATATCCTATAGATACTAACAGAGTGGGCTTCAATCAACATATTTAATACTTGAGTCACATAAAGTATATTAGTTTTTCAAGAAGAATAGTGGTTTGAATTTGATTAATAGTTTTCATTGAACTTTGTCTGCATAGATTATAGGCAGTATACCTGTGTTGCATGTGACACATTCAACTAGCATCAATCCTGTTTAATAATATTATCTCTGTCACATGTTATATATAGATGTGTGTAAATATATGTGACAGTATCCATGTATAAATCAACTGTAATAGATCAAAAAGATACACAGATTTAATCTCTTAGATTACTGAGTCTTGAGAATGGCCAAAATAAAAACATAGTGACTTATAGGTAAGAGACTCCTATGTATTTTCAGCCCTTAGAGTTAACCTAACATGTTCAAAATAGAAACCTAGTCTTTAGCCATCCCTAAATTTCTCAAGTCTTTCCTTTTTTAGGAAGTGGCAGTGTCATATAGACACATCCAACCAACTAGGAAGTTTTACTATCTAATTATGTAAAAAATACATAAAATTAAAAAAAATCAGAACTATGGCTACCTTCGACGATGTTGAAGAATAGGGAACTTTTCTGAGGTTATGTTTATGTTTTACATATTTGAGAAATACAAGCATGCATTTGGCAAAACCATGAATAAATAGCATGGTGATTTTTTAATTTTATGTATGCATGTTTAAAATTAAAAGAAACTATAAACAAAGTTGTTTTAAACTCTAGTTAATGATAAACATGTTGAGGTATTTAGGGGGAAAGGTCATATAATGCCTACAATTTACTTTAAAATACATCCCCCAAAATGACATGATTTAATGAGGGAGTTGAGGTAGATGAACACACATGTAAGCATGAGGTAAACAAAAGGAGTGAAATATTAGCGATAGACTCTAGTTGGTAAGTGTATGACTCTGAACATGGGGGTTCTTAAGGTCAACCAGCCTACAGGACCCAAACCAAACCTGGACCCAGGCCCATATTCAGCCTTTTCCCCTAGATTGACCAACTGTCTGGACCTAGACTCACACTTGAACCCACACCTACCTCATTCTGAACTTGGACTCAGCCTGGAAGCTCCAGGAATCCGCCAGCCCAGTGGACTTAAACTCAGACCGGTATATAGTTCCTGACCTTGATTTGGGCATGAAACTCCAAGTCCGAGGTCAACCAGCCAGCCAAACACATACTTTGACTTAACCTGGAGGCTTCTGAGATAGACCAGCTGGCAGAACCTGGCCTGGGACTGGCGCCTTGGACCTTGCAGCTATTAAGTCAGAGGTCAACCAGTAACTGGTTCTGGACTCAGACTGAGCCTTGACCCCCCTGATGTTGACCACCCTGGGATCAACATGATCCCAGGATCACCCTATGATCTGGGATCATAGTAGTGTGTTCTACCATTAACTGAAAGGAGGAGCAGTGTGTGATGACGTTGTATTAGGGAATATCAGTGTCTGCTACCTCCTGCCAGTACTTTCTCTTCTCCATATGCCACCTTGTTTCTCTTAGTATTTATACACCTCTGCTTTTATATACTTATATGTCTGATATATTTTTCTTTATTGCTTGCATGTACTGCTATCCTGCAAGTTCTAAGGGAATAAGGACCCTGATTTTGTTCAACTACTCTATACTATAAGTTTCTGGAAGGGTTCTGAAACACAAATTCAATGAACATTGGTTAAATGAGTGACTAATCTGTTAATTCCATGGAGGAGGGGTTGGAAGGGAACATCTAAGAGTAAATTTAAACATAAAGATCCAATCCCAGAACAAATCTGCTTTGTTTTGTCTTAATTAGTTAGAAATCATATGGAAAAACTGACCCATGCTCTCTGATATATTGAAAAGCCTCCTTTCCTCTGAACACATTCAGTCTTTGCAAAGTGACAATCAATATAATTACAGGTGATAGCCCAGTATTTCACTAGTTTAAGTAATGTAAGTAATGTTATACTAATGCTTGCAACAATGTAATTATTTGTAAGGACAATGTAAACATATAATATAGACATATAAGTAATACAATCGTATCACTATTTTTAAAGTAAGCATTGATAGATCACAGAGGGAAATTAGTTGGGTTGGAGCGGTATATAAGACATTTAAAGCCTCTTCTTTCATAAATGGAGGTCAACAGATATTATCTACAAGTGGGAGAAGGGAGGAATCAAGAAATAGCATAATGGACCTATTATTTAAAAATGCAGGCATTAGAAGAAACAACCTGAAACGCTTAAAATAGCTGGTTAATTCTAGTATCCAGTAATCAGGAAGGGGAGACTAGATCACAGATCTGATTTCTGCTTTAAAAATTGAAAGAATTGGGCCCTCCCTGGTGGTGCAGCAGGATAAAGCACAGCACTAAGAAGGCTAAAGCCACTTCCGCATGAGTTCCACCCCTGTCCTCCCCGCCCTCCCAGGAGGTGATCCACGTGGGGCGGCAGACCTCTCAGACCCGCTCACTGCTCCCCTTGGCAGTGTACTTCCTCAGTCTGCCTGTTCTGCTCCCCACTCTGTCTCTGGTGAATCCTCTCACAGCCCCTGCACCTCTGGCCTGTACCCCAGTTCTATATGCACAAATAAAAATCTTTTTTTTTATTAAAAGAATCACCTAGTTATAAGTGTGTATGTTTACCTTTAACTTGTTCTATCTAATTCTTGTGCCCTCCCTTTCTCTGAGCTCCTGCTTAACATCATCTAAATTATTTTAAGTTCTAGGAGGTAATGATGGCCATGAGAGGGCAGTTGCATTTAGGAGTGGAAAAGTGAAGGCTTTCTGCCCTTCCACTACAAGAACATCATACCAAGCAAAATCTGACCCAGCCACAACCTCCTGGATTTCCAGAGCAAAGCATGACAAGTGTTCACCTCCATACTTCTCAATTAAATTCACTCGCATTCTATTCACTTTGAAAATGTGAGCCACTGTGCTTAAGAGCAGATGGGAAGATGAGTTCAGAATGGTTGGCAGGAACGACTCGAGCTTTCAAACAATTCTGTGACCTCTGACGTAATAGGCAAGAAGTGTGAGGAAATAAGTAGGCCAGGAGCGCCACCTTAGGAGTCTGGGGACCAGGGGGAGTCGTCCTTAGGACTGGGCGGTCCCGCCCGCACCCAAAGGGTACCGGGGGCGGAGCCGACCCTGCCCCAGCCAGCCTCCGCCCACGGGGCGCTCGCTCTTCTAGTCGGGAAGCTGTAAGAGTGGGAATCCAGAGAGAATACCTGCTGGCTGCCTTACTCGAGTCCAAGCCTCGCCATGCTCGTCCTCCGAAGCGGCCTGACTAGGGCTCTGGCAGCTCAGATGCTTGCGCCCCAGGTACCGCCCCCACCCCCACCCCCACCCCCACCCCCACCCGGTGAACCATCCAAACCCAGCAAGGGGCTTTTAAAGGAAACGAGCGACCCGCACATGCGCCCTTCCGACTTGCCAGCTGGCCGGGCGCGCGCCACTTACCAGCTGGCTACCTCTGTCTACCTCTACGCCTGAGAGTTGGTTGTGGACGACAGTTGGAGTGCGAGTGAATTCAGACGCGGGGCAACCCGGGGGGCGTTTTGTCATTGTCCCCTGCCAGCCGGCAACAAGTCGCCCTAGAGAGGGGACTTTTCTGGGCGCGCCGAGGTGCCAGGGGGCCCCAAGAACACCCCTAAAGCTCCAGCTACTGGGGTTTTTGTTGCCCAGCACTGCTGCCTCTTCCTGAAGGGCCCATGCCAGGGCTGGTCGGACAAGGCCGCCTCCAGACTGAAAGTGGAAGAAGGAAATAGATCAACCGACTTCAGGCAACAGATCTTGCCATCCCATCTTAAAGGAAAACTTCAATTTCTGAGTATTTTTCAGGGAACTTTGTAAAGGGAACACCAAGTGCCAGTGGGGAGGCCCCTTGCCTAGCCGCCCCTCCCATGCAGGGTCAGATTTGGTTGTTACATGACAGTATAAACTACACCCTCCCAAAATGTTTAACTTTGCTTTTCTTTCTCCAGGTTCGCTCATCTTTTGCTACAGGTCCCAGGCAGTGTGATGGAACATTCTATGAATTCCGTACCTATTATATTAAACCCTCAAAGATGAATGAGTTCCTGGAAAATTTTAAGAAAAATGTTCATCTAAGGACAGCTTACTCTGAGTTGACTGGATACTGGAGTGTAGAAACTGGCGGCATACTGAACAAAGTGTTCCATATTTGGAAGTATGGTATGAGTCATCAACCTAAGCATGCAATACATATTTTCATTCTGTCAGAGGCTACATGAGACTTAATTCTTTGATCTGTATCACTATAATCAGACACAGGTTATGGGGGGAAAATTTTTTTTTAAGATTAATTTATGAATACAGAACTGGGGTACAGGCCAGAGGTGAAGGCGCTGTGAGAGGATTCACCAGAGACAGAGTGGGGAGCAGAACAGGCCGACTGATGAAGTACACTGCTGAGGGAAGCAGCGGTTGGGTCAGGAGAGGTCTGCCACACCAAGTGAGTCCCCTCAGGGGTGGGGATCTAACTCATGCTGAAATGGCTTTAGCTTCTTAATGCTATGCTTTAACCTGCTTCGTCACCAGGGAGGGCCCGATTATGGAAAACTTTTAACCAGCAATGAAAAACTTACTAAACTGGGGATAACCCTCCCAGTTGTACACATCTTCCAGTCTACTGCTGGAACCTTTGTCACAAGGGGATATGATGTTGGGAAATATAACATCTCAAATTTCAAATCACAGAATTGAGAACTGGACTTTAATCTTCCCTCCCCCCCAAAAATCAGAATACTTATTATATAAATGGCATATGGGAAAAAATGTTTCATTTTATAAAAATTTTAAAGCAAGCTATTTTGCTGTTCTGCCCACACTTACTCTAGAGTATATACTGTAACCTACAAAAAAACACAAAATTTATTTTAATTTATTTCCAAATTAACCAATAATTGCAAGAATATGAGTTAAGTTCATAAAGGAAAGTAGAATTACTTTTCATATTATTGAACCTATAGTCAGATATCAGCATTCTACAAGTGGTTAAATAGCATGGGGCTTCAGGGAATGGAGACTGATAGATGATGCCAGTTAACTTTAAAGTTTTACCCATCTGTAAAGTTTGATTATTCTATATTGTTTTGCAACCCCTTTTATTTCTTCACACTATTATTTCAAGGCATTCGTTGTCTTTATATTTGTCTAGGGAGTCATAGAAAAGGAATTGCAGACAATTTTTCTCTTATTGAAGCTAACCTTCCCTTGGGTTAACAGAGGAAGGAGAACAGGTTACAGTGACCCCTGGAATGTTTGTGAAATTCAGGTCAAGACTTAATAATAGTAAAAGAACTTATAATAATTTCATTTAGTGAGTGGTTATCAATGTCTATTATTTTAAAGTACTTTAATGTAAAAAGTGCTCATTCTGTACTTAACAGGAAATAGTTCAGGGTTCTTATAATTAAAAAAATGATCCACTAACACACACACACACACACACACACATATACATATGCTTAAATGTGCCACCAGTTGAATCATGATACATTAAAAAATTACTATTAAAGTTTTAACATAACTTCCTGAAGCTTTATGATAAATGTTACTCCTTATCCTCAGCAGAAACCATAGAAAACTTTTAGTCTTATGGGATCCTGAGAGTATATATAGTATTAAGTACATATGTTAGTAAATTTTATCTGTCTTTTGACAACTTAAACAGAAAAGAGTAAGTATCGGGTAAAAGCCTTTTAAAGAAGCTGTAAACAGCATCTTTGATTTTGTTTGTATGAAATCTAATTCAAGGTATACCTTCAAATGACCACCCATTATCACCACCACATTAAAGAATAACAACCCTTCTCTAAATTGATAATGTAGTTTAAATACTTCAATAAAAGTAGTTAACATACTGAGTACTATGTGCCAGCAGTCATCTAAACTATGTCTAAACTTCACAAAACCCTGAAGGTAGATATTATATATCTACTGTGATAGAGACATGTATAATATATAGATATAGATATAATAGATATGTGCATCTATAGATATATAAAAAGTGTGTCAGCCCTCCCTGGTGG